GGACTTGGCAGTTTTGGGGGTTCCTCGGGGGCTCGTAGGCAGCCAGCCTCGCCCACTGAGGGACTTAGCATTCTTAGAGGATCCTCAGCGGCTCGTAGGCCGCCGGCCTCGCCCGCTGAGGGACTTATCAAATTCTCGAATAATTATTCAAGGTTGACGGATGGCCAGCCGCGCGCACACACAACAAACAGACAGGAAAATAAAGAAAGCAATTGATAAACAAAAGCCCAGCGGGCAAGAGATGCATTCAAAAGGGCCCTGAAGGACAGGCTACATTCAAATAATAGGGAAATGCGAGATGAACAGCTAGTCTATTCTACGTTTACCCTCTCAGCTGGTCCGACGGGAACGCCTTCCTAATGAGCTCGGGCTTCAGTATGAGAAACACGGCAAAGGCGCACATCCTGTTCACGTGTTTTTGCAAGCATGCGTGACCAGATGAAAGCTTGGCGTACATCCACCCTCTCCTTGACAGATGACTACAAAGGGGTTGCCAGAGTCCGATATACTTTCCGGCCTGCCCCGTTGTTATGGAGAGATGATGGATCTTCTACAAAAGAAGGAGCACCCTCTCTCGGGCCGGCGCTTGCTCCGCTAGAGGAGCGCCCCTTAGACTCTACACCAGCATATGAAACCGCATCTTGGGGCGGTGGTGGTCGTACTACAATGGCCAAAAGGATGGGACTCTTAAGCAGCCAGCCTCGCCCTCTGGTGGACTCGGCAGTTTATGAGGATCATCTGAGGCGCGCGGCCATTCAGCTCGCCGGAGGGGACGACACCCTAATGTGGAGAGAGCAAAGAATACCGGCTGCCAAGGGATGAGCCGGAGAAAAGAAGGCGTGAGAGTGAGGAGCGCAAGAGAGATCGAGGGCATTTATAAGGACGGAGAGGCGGCGAGAGCGTGACACCTGTCTCTAGCCGGATAGACATAATCGCTGACATGACACTTGAGATGACGGCTGCCAGAAGACATGTCCCGGCAGAATCATTGGAATAGCCATCATTACGCCTATAGCGACTGTACCGCTCCCAGAACCAGTCAGAAAAAACGGTACGAGTCAGGAACAACAAGACCAGCTTGGGACTCGCCCGGGCGTTCAACAAAATCCAGACAGACTGAGAAGCCAGGCGGCCAAGACATTTTTGGGGAACTTGTGCTTTCTATTATTTACTTTTTCAGGTTAACGGCTCAGCTAAAACCTAAAAAAGTGAGGGACTGGTGATAGATACCCCAAATTAGCCGCTTGGGCGGGAGGCCAGATAAGGTAGCCGAACCGGTAGCTAACCAGGAAAGAAGGAGGAAACTGCTGGGTATCTCCCGGTCATGATACCAGACGCCCCCGAAATTCACTATGCACTTATCAAGCAGCCAGCCTACCAGCCGGCGCGTCTACAAGCAGGTCGTTGAAGGCAATGCCGATGGGCGACCAGCCACGATGATCGGTGTGTCCCTGATCCTACGCCTTACGAGGTTGGGACGGGCGACCATGTCACGCGAGCGGTGCGTCCCCCAGCCGCGCAACGCCCCAGGGCCCGGACGGGCGGCCAGGCTTGCCAGGAGGAAGGCCACCACTCAGAGGCAGGAGCCCAAGAAGTCATCCCCGCGCGGCCGGGACAACTCTTGGCTGGGTGCACGCTCCAAAGTGCGTACCGGCGGATTCTACGGACGCGATCATTGCTCCGTTAGGCAGTTTCCATAATTCACCTAGACAGGAAAGGCAATGTATCGACAGCTTACTCAGCCCTTACGTCAGCCCTACTTACCCTTGACCTCGGCTAGATGTCAACCCTACTTACCATGTATAGATTCTATATCCGTGTATAAATACCCCCACGAGATCTCCATAGTGGGGGGACGGACCCTCTGTCTTTGAGCGGCATATTTTAAAGGGCAACACCCTAAAGGAATAACGGCCAGTTATTCTCTAAAATTATCTTTATTTTCTCACTTTCTTTACATTTACAAATACAATTATCTGGTAGTGTTGGCCTGCCGGGCAGCCATCAACGCTGTGAAAACCAACAATAAGTATAGATGGATATACATATACACTCTTTTATAAAAAGGACACTTTTCTATTGAGGTTTGTTAGAGTCACAATGACTCGCTTTCTCTAGAGTCGCAATGACTCGCTTTCTTTAGAGTCGCAATGACCCGCTTTCTTTAGAGTCGCAATGACCCGCTTTCTTTAGAGTCGCAATGACTCGTTTTCTTTATACTCGTGGGCGAGGTAGGACTTCACCATAATGTGAATGGGCCTATCTGGGCTCGGCGTTTAGCCGGCCTAATACTCATCTCGCCCCCAGAACCACTTTCTTGATTCTTTTCTCAAACTCTGTGGAATCAGGTATCAAACTATCAGTGTGCACACCCCCTGACCTGGATTCCAAGCCTGGCGAGCAGTTTCCAACCTAGTAACTCGGGAATATCTACCTCGTTACTTCATATCGGATCGCAATGTACGTTTCTTTCTTTACTTTCTCTTTTCACTGTTTTGTCGGTTCTATCCGATCGTATCTCTTTTCTTCTAAAAGGACATAGTCCTAACGGTCCTCCAAAACCTCGGATTACTCACACTAAATACATATAGATATAGCTCATGCATTTCAATTCATGCAACACTTTACTTATGCAAACTTATGCACATAACTTCTCAGCAACTTCTCAATGCAACTAGATAACGATTTCCAACATAGAGACAAGTTTTGAAAATATAACTTAGGCTCACAATGGCCACTTATGCATTTTAAAAACAGGGTATGCTCAATTATGCACTTTACAGTAATATATGCTTCAAAACTTCATTCACTGTGAACTTTCAACAATGGCCTAAACATGCTTATAAAATCATAACTTAGCCAATCTTCTTTGGCAAACACTTAGCAAGTATTCGACATGCACTTGAACTCAAAATACTCAACATAATATCATTTACTGTGATCTAGCATTCAAGAAGAACATGCTTTGTACACTTCAACACATAATATTCTTGACAATATTCTCAACAAGTCATAATGGACATCTAGGCATGCTTTTCCTAGTAAAACTTAACAAATATTGATCATACTTCTTAATCTAACAATCATATAATTGTCATGTTTCTCAAACAAATAACCAAGACCAAACATTTCACATTTCTTTCACTGCATATGCTTTCAGACAACCTCTATAGCTTATTGCTTCACAAATTCTATCACAAAATACTCATTTCTACTCCGAATTCAAAGAAATCAATTTCTACTCGTGCGTCGTGACGAACCTGAGTGTCCGAGCCTCAAGGGCCCATGAGTCTCGGTCCAAAATGACACGTAGCTGAGCCATAAGGGCCCGACCACTGCACTGCTTCTGCCAAGCGGGGCTTGAGGAGCCCCGCCAAGTGGCGGCCTAGGGCCACGGCTCTAGCCTAGAGCCGTGCCCTAGGGCCGCTCCTCCACGGGGCTTGCCAACGGCTCCTTCCTAGGGCCGTTGGCTAGTCCCGTGTCTCATCTGGTGCACACTATTTTGTGCACCAGTGAGATTCTTCTTCACCTATAAGACAATATCAGGCAACCAAACACTCCCAAATCATCAACAACACATCATAGATCAATAATAGATCACTTACTAGCTCAAATACAATAATATTATAGCATTTCTACTCATCTCAACTCAAAATGAGACTTCACAGTGTCTAAAATAAGCTTTGGAAGTCCATGGGGTTATACCTTTGTAGATTCCTCCTTTGAGCTGGGATTCCACCTTCTTCCCAAGCTAGATACACCCTCCTTCACCTCCTAAACAACTCAAACAAACCACACAACCATCTTAATACTAAGCTCTCAGAGATGGAAGGATAGAAGGAAATGCATAGAAGGGAAAACTAGAAGAAATGGAATGCTCAGACTTGAAGAAAACTTATTGTGTTTTTCTTGGTTGCTCTTGGAGAGCTTTTGGGGAGGAAGACAAGGTTGGGAATCAAGAGGCAAAGTCTGAAAGTGTTCTTATTTATAGAGGCACAAAACCCTAGGAGCATCCACAATGATTGGTGGAGGGCAAAGATGTAAAAGCTTGGCTGAAAGTTGCATCAGGCAAAGTTCTTTGGAATAGAGTGGTTCACCATGCTTCATGAACCATGGTCTAAAATCAAGTTTAAAATAGTTTGGGGTTGAAAATAAATTTCCCAAAAATGATTTCTAGAAGAACACTTGATTTAGGCTTCTCAGATTTCTCCCGGTCTCACTCAGAATGATTTTTCAGTTCAAAACTTGGTACGCAAAGTACCCGAAAATTTAGGATTATTGTTTCAAATCATGTTCCGGTATTGAATTTATTTAAAAGTGGCTCAAAATAATTTATTCTAATACCGATTTCATCGCAAAAACATTTTTATAGAGTGAAAAATGGCTATTTTGGAATTTCTTAAAACCGAATTTATAAAATTAAATTTTGGGTTTTCACACCTACGGTCTGGCTGCACAGGTTTGTCTTACTAAACCTACATGACACACTTAGGCGGTTAAATATCCAGAATGGTGCAAGGCAATGGATCAAGAGTTCAATGCTCTTCCACAAAATGAGACATGATGCCTTGTGCCACCTAAATTAGACATGAATATTATTGGGTGTAAGTGGGTCTTTTGCACAAAAAGGAAGGCAGATGGTTCAATTGAAAGGCACAAAGCAAGGCTAGTAGCTAAAGTGTTTAATCAAGTACCTAGACAGGATTTCTTTAACATGTTCAGCCCAGTGGTGAAACCCACTACTGTCAGGTTACTTCTCTCTTTAACTATATCATCTGGATGGACTATTAGGTAGCTTGATGTTCACAATGCTTTTTTGAATGGACATTTATTTGAAACTGTTTATATGAAGCATCCGCCTGGTTATATTGATATTCAGTTTCCTAATCATGTCCGTCTTTTGATTTGTTCTTTATATGGGTTGAAACAAGCCCTTAGAACTTGGTTTAATCGTCTACATACGTTTCTGCTGTCAGTTGGTTTTAATGCTTTGAAAACATATGTCTTTGTTCTATTATTCCCAAGATTCTGTTTTTGTGTATGTTTTGGTCTATGTTGATGACATACTTGTGATGGGGAGTAGTACGAATCTAGTCAACGAGCTATTGACTAAACTCTCTACTGAATTCAAGATTAGGGATCTTGATGAACCTGGTTTCTTTCTTGAAATTGAGACTGTTAAATGTGATAATGGAATCTTGCTTTCCCAGCAACGGTACATGACAGACATTTTGAATCGTGCTGGTATGACAGATTGTAAACCTTTAGCCACTCCTATATATGTTTCGAAACCCCACTTCTTTCAGTGCATTTTTATATGACGATGTTACAAGTATAGGAGTCTAGCTGGAGCACTGCAGTATCTCACGATTACTCGTCCAGATCTGTCCTTTGCTGTCAACCAACTCTGTCAACATATGCATGCTCCTACAATCTCGTAGTGGGAACAATTGAAGCTTGTGCCAAGGTATGTTAAAGGCACTATTACTTACGATTTACGTGTACGAATGTCAGAATCTAGGGAGTTGCATGCTTTTTCTGATTCTGATTGGGCTGGCTTATATCCCGAGGACCGTAAGTCAACTAGTGGCTATGCTGTGTTTCTTGGATCCAATCTTATGTCTTGGGTATGTAAGAAACAAAGAACTGTTGCTAGATCTCCTACGGAGGCTGAATATAAAGCTTTAGTAGATGTTTGTGCTGAAGTAATTTGGATTCTATCTCTATTGCGTGAGATTGACGTGAATAACATTTATGTTCCCAAGTTGTGGTGTGATAATCTTGGTGCTACATACATGTGTGCAAATCTCATATTTCATGCGCGTATCAAACATGTGGAGATTGATTATCACTTCGTTAGAGACAGAGTTGCCAATGGAGACATTCAAGTTCACTGTATCTCAACTAAAGATCAACTTGCTGATATATTTACAAAGGCTCAACCTGGTCATAAGTTTTCTTTTCTTAGAGACAAGCTACAGGTCACATCTGTACCCTGTGCTTGAGGGGGAGTATTATGACTCTATGTATTTGAGTTAGTTTGTGACTCTCTATCATAGTCTCTCTATGATTCACCTTCTATATATACCTATGATCTGTACCTTTAAAATTAAGTTTATTCAATACAATTTATTCAATTATCATTGATACAATTCATTGTTATTAATAACTTATATGCATTGTGATTACTATTTCTTATACACTTAGAAATCACCTGATGTTGCCATTCTTCTTTTCTTTTTCTTGTTTTTTCCTAAAGTTATTAACACTGTTCAATGCACTAAGCTATACATTACGCTTCATTACTTGTAGCACTTACAGATATATTCATTCATATTTTATATTTCATATTTATTCATGAGGTATTGAGTATTTCTATTATGTTAATCTCTCTATAACATTACTATGTTTTTCATTGAATATAATATTTATTTAATCATGCAATGTTGATTGTTGTAATGCAGGTTAGTTGGCCTTAGACTCCTTGAGTTTGGTGAACGCTTGAAGAACAAAAGCAAAAGAAAGCAAAGGAAAGGAGTAGAGATATATGTGAGATGAATTCTGTATTCTCATTAGCTCATTTCTTTAGTTTACAAGAGTACAGAATATAAAGGACTCAATGTAATAAATACAATAAATGTATACAACTGTTACATCCGTTACATTCCGTTACAAATACAAATGTCCATAAATAGTGGTTTTATAACACTCCCCCTTGGACATTATTTTGCCATAATCATGCCTCGTTAAAAACTCGCTAGAAAAACCCTGTGGGAAAAACCTAGTCGAGAAAAGAGTACATGATATATGGATAATGCATGTGTTGCTTTGGTTGCCTCATTAAAAACCTTACACTGAGAAAACCCTGTGGGAAAAAAACTCAGCAAAGGGAAAAAGAGTACAACTGTAAACCTTCTGGGTTTAGGTATAAAACATAAGGATAAGTCTTGATCTTCTGGATCAAAGTGAATAAATTGATCTTCTAGATTAATAATTTTGTTACATTCAAGATGTTGTTGCTCCCCCTGAAGACAACAGCCTTCCTAATCTACGCATACCAATTTTGTATACATACTTTTCAAAAATAGATGTAGGTAAGGACTTAGTAAATAAATCTGCCAGATTCTCACTTGACTGGATCTTTTGGACTCGTATTTCACCACTCTTCTGGAGTTCATGTGGATAAAAGAATTTTGGTGTAATATGTTTGGTGAGATTACCTTTAACATATCCATTACTCATTTGTGCAACACATGCTGCATTGTCCTCGTACAGGACAGTGGGGATCTTTCCATTATTCATTATTCCACACGAGTCTTGAATATTGTGTATTAATGACCTCAACCATACACATTCTTTGGAGGTCTCGTATAAGGCAATAATCTCAGAATGGTTTGAGGAGGTAGCTACTAATGTTTGTTTAACTGATTTCCATGAAATAGCAGTACCTCCAGAAAGAAACACATATCCAGTCTGAGATCTAGCATTATGCGGATCAGACATAAAGCCAGCATCCGCGTATCCCACTAATGTGGTGTCTTGGTTTCTTTTAAATAGAAGGCCAAGATCCTTTGTACCTTGCAAATATCTGAGGATATGTTTTATGCCATTCCAATGCCTTCTGGTTGGAGCAGCACTAAAACGAGCTAGCATGTTTACTGAAAATGCAATATCAGGTCTAGTGCAGTTGGCAAGGTATAGAAGTGCTCCAATGGCACTTAAGTAAGGAACTTCTGGTCCTAGAATATCCTCATTATCCTCTTTAGGTCTGTACGGGTCCTTATCAACTTCAAGTGATCGGACTACCATTGGAGTACTAAGTGGATGGGACTTATCCATGTAGAATTTTTCCAATAACTTGTCTGTGTATTTGGATTGGTGTATGAATATTCCTTCAGGGAGGTGCTCGATCTGCAGGCCGAGACAGAACTTGGTTTTTCCCAAGTCTTTCATTTCGAATTCCTCCTTTAGGCACAAGCATGCCCTCTTGACGTCCTTGCTCGTCCCTATGATGTTTATATCATCTACATAGATTGATATAATACAGAAACCATCAGTTGATTTCTTTGTAAAGATGCAAGGACTAATATCTTTATTTTCATATCCTTGTTTTAAGAGGAATTCACTCAATCGACAATACCACATTCTTCCTGATTGTTTTAAGCCATATAATGACTTTTGTAGCTTTACGCTGAACATATTTTTATTTGTATTTCCTTTACATAAAGGATTTTGGATGCCCTCAGGTACTTTCATATATATGTCAGCGTCTAGTGACCCATATAAATATGCGGTCACAACATCCATTAACTGCATTTCTAAATTCATTTTTACTGCCAGCGATATTAGATAACGGAACGATGTGCCATCTAAGACAGGAGAGTAAGTTTGTTCAAAATCTATTCCGGGTCTCTGTGAGAACCCTTGAGCTACCAGTCTCGCTTTGTATCTGACCACCTCATTTTGTTCATTCCTCTTTCGTACAAATACCCATTTGGATCCTACTGGGATCACGCCTTTAGGGGTAAGTACAGGAGGACTAAACACTTTTCTTTTATTTAGCGAGTTGAGCTCAGCCTCAATTGCTTCTTTCCATTTCAACCAATCGGAGCGCTTCTGGCACTCCATTATAGTTTTTGGTTCTGGATCCAGATTATTGAAAGAAATGTGAAGAGCAATTGTAGAGGCGAATTGGTCGTCGACGACTGTTACATTTCTATTAAGATTTTCTCCTGTTTCGAAAAAGTTTATGGCAGATTCTATATTTACTTCAACCAAGTCTTTCTCATTTGCTATCATATCTTGGTGAAGGTGTTCCGTATTCCCAGTGTTAGATTTATTTGTAGCACGTGCATTTACACTGGGTATTTCGTCTTCAGGACGATTTTGGAGTAACTGTGATTGTTTATTGTTTTTAATTTTCCGCGGATTTACATCTTTTGCACCAACTGGTCTTCCACGCTTCTGGCGTCGGATAGTGTCGGTGTTATTATTTGGTCCTTTGGGGACAATTATCCTTGATGGAGCATTTTCTGCAGGAATATAGGACCTAGTTACTCTTTTATAATCAGTAAACGCATCTGGCAGATTATTTGCTAGTTTTTGCAAATTTATTATTTTCTGAACTTCAAGTTCAGTTTGACTAGTACGTGGGTCAAGATATTGAAGATCTTTTTCATCCCATGAAATTTCGTGGCATTTTTTCAAAACTGGGTTTTTCTCTCCCCCTAATGCCGGGAAATGATCTTCATCAAAAATGCAGTCAGCAAACCGTGCAGTAAACTGATCTGCTGTCATAGGCTCGAGGTATTTAATGATAGAAGGGGATTCATACCCAACATAAATACCTAATTGACGTTGCGAGCCCATTGAAGAACGATGCGGAGGTGGTATAGGTACGTAAATCGCACAACCAAAGACACGCAAATGGGAAATGTCTGGCTCATTACCACGTACAAGTTGTAGAGGGGAATAATCGTGATATGCAGTTGGCCGGAGTTGAATTAGGTTTGCAGCATGCAACACTGCGTGTCCCCAACAATTTACTGGTAGACTGGACCGTTGTAGTAATGGTCTAGCTATTAGTTTAATTCTTTTGATAAGAGATTCAGCTAAACCATTCTGGGTGTGGACGTATGGTACAGGATGTTCCACCTTAATTCCCATGGCCATACAATAATCGTCAAAAGCTGACGAAGTGAATTCACCAGCATTATCCATTCTTATGTTCTTAATAGGATAATCGGGAAATTGGGCATTCAACCTAATGATTTGGCTTATGAATTTTGCGAATGCCATATTTCGAGTGGACAACAAACACACATGTGTCCATCGGGTGGAAGCATCAATAAGGACCATAAAATATCGAAATGGTCCGGATGAAGGATTAATTGGTCCACAAATATCACCCTGTAGCCTCTGCAGGAAGACAGGTGACTCAAAACCAATCTTAGGACGCGAGGGACGAACAATAAGTTTTCCCTGTGCACATGGAACACATGTGTAATCTTTTGTAGAAAGAATGTTTGTCCTAAGAAGGTTATGTCCAGTTGAATTTGAAAGAATCCGGCCTATCATTGTTTGCCCAGGGTGACCTAAGCGGTCATGCCATAGACTGAAAGAATGTGTATCTTTAAACTTTACTGCGAGTGCAATGCAGGAGTGCCGGGGCCTGATATATGAATAATACAGGCCTGAAGAAAAGGAAGGAAGTTCTTCAATTTCCTTTTTCTGGTTATTGACCGTTTTGGTCAAAACAAGGAATTCGGTATTGTTTTTAGTTTTAGTTTCTATGTGGAAACCGTTGGACCGAATATCCCTGAAACTGAGCAAAGTTCTTTTTGATTGAGGATATAGGAGGGCTGAATCAATGATCAACTTTGTTCCTTTAGGAAGAATAAGTGACGCTCTGCCGGAGCCCACAATAGGGATGTCATCATTCGCTATGGTTGAAAGGTTGCCTTTATGTTCCTTGAACGTTTGGAAAAATCTCCGGTCTGTCAGAATAGTGTGCGTAGTCGCACAATCAACCAAGCATAGGGTTGATTCATCTCCCATATCTCTAAAGAAAAAGGAATGGGTATCAAGATAATGTCTAAGAAGAATCCATTGTATTTATTCAAAAAAAAAACAAAAGAGTTCAAAGATAAGGGATCCATTATTCATATAGGACAAAGGAGTTCAAATATAAACATGCACGCAGGCATGAAGTAAAATGGATGTCCATAAGAAAAAGGAGAGAAAAGAATAGGAGTATCACTCCTGATCTCCATAATCAGCTAGTTCATCGCCTAGCAGGTCATCATTCCCTAAGATGAGGGCATTTGCTTCAGGCAAAGATGATTGCCCAGAATCTTTCTTCTTTTGTCCTCCTTCTTGCTGGAGCATCTTTTGGTAAGCCTCGACCAGATGTTTAGGAGTCCTGCATGTCCTAGACCAATGTCCTTTGCCACCACATTTATAACATGGTTGCGACTGACCAGAGTTCTGTTGTGACTTGTTTGGT